GAATGGGAAAGAAATGCCTCGTTTTTATAATTGTACTTAAATTATAGGGTGTTTGTTCGGCGACATGCAGATTTTGCAATATATCCACGGCGATAAGCGATGATGGCGATGAGTGGGCACGGTTGAACTGGGAGTCAGGGCTAGCTTAGCTCCGTGTTTTGGGACTAAACGTCTGATTGGCTGCGGTGTAATGAGGGCAGGACGTATTAAGTGGCCTTTGGCTTATTGCACTAGCTGTTAAGCCGGGGTCAGACTTTATCCAGCATACAAAAGACAATCTGCATACAGATTCGAACGCGAGTCGCCTCGAGATCCGTGCTTCGAATGCCACCGCATGACAGTAGAGTTCAAAAAGGAAACTTGGCACGCGGCGTTCGAACCACGGATATTGCGGTGACTGGTGTTTGCAGACTGTCTTTTGTATAGGCCCGTAGCTCTCAAGTTTTGATCAGCGCTCTAGGCGAGCAAAATAGAATATTTGGCTCGTGTTAGCGTCAATACGCTTCCCCATTACAGTTTTTTTTTCATACTCTGTTCCATTCTAAGTGCCAGCGTAGGAGAGTCTACAAGAGCGAGCTGTAAGCTCTCAGCGTCCCTGTCAAGTACACGCGCACATGCAGTGTGAGCATCGTTCAGGAGGACGTGCTTTTGCAAGTAGCTTGGGCTGCGCTATCACGTAAAGTGAAACATACGTGCTCACGGAAGCTATGAACGAAAGCAAAGATGAAACGAATGTTTAATGGTACGCTGCAGCTGCAAGCTGCATAATCTTTTTTTCTTTTTTTCACGTTTTGTTACCGCGCATCTACAGATACTGACCGATGCCTCTATTCCACGGTGCTCTATTCGAACGTGGCACGTGCGAAATCGAACGTTACAGCGCCCCATGGATGGTGCAGCCAGCATAACATAGTCGCGTCTTGCGTGAGTCTTCCGGGGGCGCTCGCGCCCCCTACCCCAGAGCAACGGGTCTATGAGGTGTGAGCGGTTGGACCCCGGCTTTATGGCGCATTCACACTGGAAGCGGATCCGCGTTCGCAAAGCGATTGCGAACCCGGTTGTGAAAAGATCCAGTACAATTGCACGCGCACTCGACGTCATCGAATGCGCGTGCAATTCTACTGGATCTTTATATAACCGCGTTCGCAATCGCTTCGTGAACGCTGATCCGCTTCCAGTGTGACCGCTCATTCACACTGGAAGCGGATCCGCGTTCGCAAAGCGGTTGCGAACGCGGTTGTATAAAGATCCAGTAGAAATGCACGCGCACTCGATGACATCGAGTGCGCGTGCAATTGTACTGAATCTTTATACAACCGCGTTCGCTACCGCTTTCCGAACGCGGATCCGCTTCCAGTGTGAATGAGCGGTGAATGCGCCATTAGAGAGACTTCTCAGCTGCATTCGCTGTGTCGGCGTTGTGCCAGACAAAGAACTCCGTTTCGCGTGCGCTCGCGCGCGCACTCGCGCGCGCACTCGCGCGCGCACTCGCGCGCGCACTCGCGCGCGCACTCGCGCGTGCACCGCCCTGTGACATCAGACAAAGCACGCGCACTTGGCTCCTGCCAACGCTACTAGCTTACCTCAGTTGTGGCGGAGCTTTGAGTTGTGGAACTTCCGCGAAAGGGGGTACCCCCCTCACTTACTTCAGTCCGCCTCCCGTCGCTTGAAGCGCCATCTAGATTTTCACTTCAGAACTGTGCATTCCATAGAGTATACGGTGGAACGCCATCTAGGCGCTGTGCTTCGAAACGTAGGTATTCCATCGAATACACTGCAGTTACCATAGGAGCCGTCCGGCGCTTCGAACGACGGGAGGCGAGTCGTGGTGAGTGAAGGGGGGCTCGTGCAAGCAGCATCTATGAGCAGTTTCGTAACTGAGCTAATCTAATAACGTTGACTCCTGCCAGGCGACAGTGTCTTCTAGGGTTGGCGGGGGACGCCGCTACGCGTTCCTCACAGGAGAACTCGCTTTGGGTGCACTATCGGATGTAAAGCGACCCTTGATGCCCGAGTCCCACTAGAGCGACAATCATAAACAACTGGCACCGCCACAGGCCCCAAACACCATGCACGCGGATTAATCTTTGACTGACTTGCAGTCTATCGGTGCTCGTATGTAAAGCAATCACGAGTGATTGCAAGCCCAAAGATAGCTTCGCGTGCAGGCTGCACGCGCTTGGGGCTTGTCGGTGTCGGCTGTTTATGTTTGTCGCTCTAGTGGGACTCGGACATAGCGGTATACCTGTCTCGACTTAGTCTATGTTCTCTTCCCCACATACTCTATACTAGTGACCAATAGGTCGTGTTCTGCGCGTGATCGAGTAAATAAAGAAATAGGCATAAGAGTTGGTGTTACTCGGCGCATAACAGCACGTTTTTTTGTTTTTTTTTTATACATAAGCGATTTGACGCGATGATTTTTCGTCGGGTCTTGGATCCTCCCAAGACAACAGGGAAACACGATACCCCGGCCCTCTCTTCACAGCCGAGAACTTATGTTTCAATATCCGGTGGAATTCGTCTATACGCGACGACCTTGGCCATCTCTGCGTCTCTAATGGTGCTCACACAAACCGGCAACTCGCTCTCAACGCCGAGTACACAACCTGGCGGGCCGTGCTCTTTCGGGCTGGCTTTCTTAATGTGCGAGACGTGGCGAATTGAGGGATCTAGAGTTACCCCCGCCGGATTAGTTCGTGCCGGCTGGAGACTACTCGAAGAAGAAGTAACAAAAAAAAAAGTTAACATTTTTCGGGGAGACCGGTTATAAATCAAAGGCAGTGGCTTGCGGAGAGCATGCCTCTGGCATTTCTCTCTCCTTTTTTTTTTATCTTGGATGTGCGCAGGTTTTGAAGAAGCGCTCCATGCGTGAGTCCGTGCTTCTGAATGCGTGTGTGCGCGTTTCAGAGAGCATATTGCTGACATTGCGATGGAAGCTACGTGATCGTAGGACCAGTGATAGCTTTATCTTTCGCCACGGTATCACGCTCTGGCCCACACTACCGCGCAGAGAGCTGCCTCAGGTGCCCGTGAAAGGCAAGCGGTTCATTGGTGCGGCGAGCTCATAACTCCCACCGCAGTGTCGGTTTAGGTCTCTAGACGAAGCGTAGCTTGCGTGCTGGTGCGCCTCGCGTCGTCGGTAAGTTGCGACACGTTCTCGTGTCCGTTCCCTTTGGTGCCCCACGCGACAGCGAGATGGCTGCTTTGTCAGATACCCCGGGTTGCTTTTGGCAGCCGCAGCAGACGATACGCTGGAGTTTGCGTGACTCGGGCATCTCATATAACGGCCGGAAACCTCACCCACTCACACCTTGTACACGCCTCAAGGAGGGAGTTCGCTTTCGTAGATCAAATCAACCGACCCATCGTGACGTCCGTATCTGAGGACAGCGAACCGTTCGGAGAAATACCTTCGTTTTGAAGAGCTATAGACCGACACGCTGTTTACAAACAAGCCCTCCTTTGCCCACACCAGGTGGGGGCATTGCGCGTGCGCAGAAACAAAATTCGGGTGAAGTGAAGCGTCTGCGCATGCGCAGTGACGTCGACAGCGCCACCGCAGCTGCGTGACGTCAGGGCCGCGTGCTGGTCTATAGAAGAGCGCGTTGGTTAAACAGTCGCCGAGTTAGAAGGAACGTTTAGCCAACCCTGTTTTGAATTTGGGGAGAGCGGGGAACACGGACGCTTAGTCTTTCTTACTTTGAGTGCCCAGAAGATACGTGACGTGAAGGGGGGGGGGGGGGGGGGGGAAGTTGGTGGGAATAAGTTGGAGCAGAAAGGGCCCCGGAAGCCGACGTTTCGCTCTGTGGATTTGAGGAGCTTTGTGCTCAAGTTACTGTCATTGTCAGTATTGTGCGGGGCGGAACGTGCTTTTGCTTACCCACCAGTCGCCCCGAAAGTAAGAAAGAAACCAGGAAGGGGCTTGCAGTTCCTGGTTTTGCTGCTTTTGAAGAGCCTGTACAATGCTGCTGGGTATCTGAGCTAGTCGGTCTTGTTTGTAAGTTGGAACGAAGCAAACTTCGAGTCTCGAGAACGCTTTCAGGCGTGCCCGCGCTGCTTTTCCAGCGAACGATTCGGCCTATATGTGGGGAAAATACGCAGCAAGCGGCACACAACGAACGAAATAAGAAGAAAAATCAACACCAAATAGGGGTACATAGTTCATTTCGGTCCGGGCTCGTGCTGCGCGAGCCGAGAGGCCCCTGCGAGTCCAGTACCGGGCGGATTACTTGCGGGCCATCGAAGATAGTTCTGGAGAAGGCAACCATTTGTTTGGGCGAACAGGAAAGAAACAGTCTATCGATGGCTTTTGAAGGCGTCAAAAATAGGGGTGGGACTGTTTTCGGATCACTCCTTTTCTTCACGCTCTCTCACTGTGTATCGCGGACCCACCTTCTCCGAACAGCAACAACAGCGACACGGAAGAAAGCCTTTGGTAGCCACAAGGGCGCCATGCGGCGTACGACTACTTCCCTCGGGGGGACGACGAAGCAAAACGCTTTGTGCTCTGGGGACTGCACGCGCAGCGTCCATTGTTGCTTTGGTTGTGTGCTTTTTTTGTTTTTTTAGGCGTCGGGGGGACAAGGGTGGGCGGGGCTTTCGAAGGGGTTACTCGAGAGAGTTGGCGGGTTGATCGCTTCGGCCGTGTCTTGTTGTGCGTCGCGAGCGCACCCCTCAGCGATCTTTCTTAAGTGTCTTTAAAGCGGTCTGGAGCCTCGCACGAGATGGTCAACGTCGATAGTTTGCATAGTTTGTCCCGGGCCGTCCGAAGCCGTTGTTGGAGGACTCCCAAAGGTACTCAAAGAAGCAACAGTTCCCGTACTGCGAACGTTTAACGTGGGGAGGGGTAAGAGGCGAGGGGTGCCATGCGTCAAAGGCGTAGAACGGCTGACAGGCGAGCGCGTTTTGTCTGAACGATCATCGCAGCGAGAGTTTGAGTTCCGGATGTTGTCTCCGGGTTTATTGGTTATTTTTTTTTATTTTTCTGTTGCTCGCAGGAACGAAAGCAAACTGAGTGCCGCGGCCAAGGTTTCCGTTGTGTTTCACCGCCGAGAGGCACAGCGATCACTTGGGTGAGTCTGGCTGACTGCGACTGTCGTTGCTTGTTGTGTGCTGTTCAGGCTGTGGTCCCAGTAGGTCGGAGCCTATAGCTTGCGCCATCTGGAACGGAGGTTGGTTTACCTCGTTCGAAAGTACATCACCTTGCCTTGACGATGACTGGGTGTTTTCGGGCTAATCCGAAATGACAGCGATTTCCGAAGCCCCGTGAGAGGAGCTCGGAAAATGCGGACTCAGTCTTGCATCGGTTGAGCTTGCCTTTTACCTTTTATACCTTGTGTCGTGATATGTCCGACCGCACTCGCAGGCACGAACACATATAACCACGAACATACATGCTAAAAGCGCGTGTCACTGAGCCTGGTTAGCGTAGAATTGAAAGATCACATTTAAAAACCTGACGAACACCATGGCATGGCGTTTTTTTAGCCGCTGCTTGCTTGGTCTCATCGACTCGTAGCGTGGGCTGCGTCTGCACTTAGAGGGGAAACGAAATATAAAAATTGGCTTCAGTAATGACTATCGTTGATTGTCAATGAATTGCGATAGCATTCGTCATCAGACTCAAGACGCAGCTCACTGTGAATACGACGACGCAAATTTTGAGTAAGCACATTATGTTACCAATGGTTTACGACGCAAACATTGACGTCCGCGCCACTTCGCAATTGAGTGATTGTCTCGTGTCGGTCTAACTGTTTAATATTCTGTCTCTGTGTAATCGTTTAATGTTCAAGCTGTTTCACCCCCATCATTGACCATGTACCAACTAGCTCAACTCAAACGGATAATTGCTTCGTAACAAGGGCGCCAATATGAATGTGTGCGTACTGCCGCCTCGTGTATGCGCGGCGCGGGATTTCCTGCTTGCTCGGAGGACGTCGAGACGATGTCCTAGGGGACGACATCATAGACGGCGTCTAGGAAGACCTCAAGGACGACGTCCTGGAGGATGACGTCAAAAACGACCTCTAGAACGACCTCTAAGACGATATCAAGGACGACCTCAAAAACGGCGCCTAGGATCACCTCTCGGACGACGTTGTATGCGGAGGCGCCGCGCATAAGCACGGCGCATTCGAGGTCAGAGAGCGTGTGGCGAAAACCGGGTGAAGTAGCTGAAGAATGCTATCGGAGTAAAACTGCTCTAATGAAAAATCTAGCAAAAAACTGCACGGGCAGTGACGTTGGAAGTCGTTTTGAGTAACAGCTTGTATTCGTCGTATTATTTCCCCTTTAAACAGTGTTTTATCCACCTGCAAGTGATCTAATGTGGCTTTTATTTCCCTTTTCGGTTTGTACTAAAAAGAGAAAACAAGGACAAAAAGCTGTTGGTGTAACTTGACGAGGACCTGTCTCCCTGACGCACGTTGATGGTTAGACTTAAAGGCGCCGCTGAGAAGACAGACAGGTCGGCACGCTCCATTGGCAAGGCCGGAGCATGCACCAGTTCCGTATTAGCGGCTAGGGAGGCTACGCCCCCTTCTCGATGCGCTCTTCCAAGGTGGCCAGCTCAAGCTCATTTGCTCTGGCCTATGCGTGTTTATTTTTCTTTCGTTGTTTTACGCATTTCCCGAAGCCAATATTTCGTGTACCCGCCGTCGGCGTGCTTCCATGCATTCCGAAACCTGGAAGATAACGCCAGTGCACAACTTTGCTCTGGATTTCCGAAGAGGGGAGGAGTGCCCAGCTTTGATCCGCGGTAGAGGCGCGCGTATAGGATTCACTGCGTCGTTGGTGGCGGCGTATCACTTCTCCTTGACGAGTCCTGAAATCACTTATCTTCGTTACGAGTGGGCTTCGGCGAATTTCTGTTGTCACGAAGTTGATGGCCGATACGCGATCTGGGCGGGCTGTCAATCGTCGCATTGTCGAGTTTCGTCCAAGTTTGCTTCCATCGCTCTCGCGCATGGCAGCAAAGTAGCGCGCTGTTGGTTGCTCTTCCTTCAATATGTTCCGCTGTGATTGATCGGTCATTGGGCGACACGCCGAGCTGCTTTTGATCTCTCTGGACTGGATGGCGGTTTGAGCACCTGTCTTAAAGTCGTTGGGCTCAATCCCTTACACTACACGCACACCGAACACCGCCTTAAAGGGGCACTGACACATCAAAATCATATTTTTTTTTATTATCCGAAACGATTGTAAACGATGCCGGGACATTACCCTCAAAATTTGAAATTTGGGAATTCAGTATTTGTGAAGTACAAAAACAATTTCCAAATGCCGAATTCGAAGTTCCCGCGCGATCGGCGCCGGTGCCTTGACGTCAAATATTGCGGAGTCCTGAGAGTCCACTTTCTTTCACCACTCCCTGCTGTTGCCATGGCGACCCAAAGCGAGGAGGAAAGGAGCGAGCGCCGGCGTTGCGGCGGACCGGTTTTGAGCGGTGTCGCCTGTTTTCCGTTGGAGGATACAAATCCAGGAGACGGCACCACAACGAACTCCCGATTTTTGGTATTTCAAAAAGAAGGGCCGTATTGCGTTCGCAATTGCGTTAAGAAACATGTTTTAGGATTGCCGTTATTAAATGTCATAAAGATGTCGCCTACAAAGCTTCTAAATTTCATGATTCTTGACGTCACGAATCAAAAGAAGCGAGGAGGCGAAAGCGGGAGAATCAAACGGTTTTTTTTGCGTGTCTATGACTGCAACTTGCATCGTTTTAGACAATAAAAATAAATACGACCTTTGGGGTGTCAGTGCCCCTTTAAAGGGGCGATGCAACAATTTTTGTACTTTGCGCACGCGTTCGTTTTTCACCCCGCGCAATAGAAGTTCCAGAAAAAAAAAAAAAAAGAAAACGCACCGTTCACTTCCTCAACTCGCAGCCAGAACTAGTGGCCATGTGATCTGGAGCCGATTATATGCCGCCAATGTTGATCATAGCCACGCGCTGGGGTTGGCAAAGCACAGGACACTCGCTGAGTTCCAGCCATTGTTATGGCTCGGCTACTGTCGTCGTTGCAGCGATTGGACATGGGCCACTAACCGAATCTATGTGGAGGCATCGATTGTCACGAGCCCAGATCGAATGCGTACGCAGTCTTCGCGTCCACTGTGTGAGCAGTATTTGAATATCGTCACCGCAAAGCTCGATGACGCATTCCCGGGAGTCGTACTGTTGCCATTGTCCCCACAGCTCCGTCATCAAATTTCGCGAAGGAGCAAAAGGCGGCTTTGGGAGGAGAGACTGGAAGAAAAGCTCTGCTTTCATCCTTTGAACTCCGCCGCGACGAAGACGCTTCTTGGTCAGTGGTGTTGCCTTCGAGTATTCTTGGGACCCACTAGTGCCAGTAAGCTGGTGTAAAGTAAGAAATATTCCTACCCAATGTCGTTGCACAGCCCCTTTAAGCCACCGCTTATACATCGTTCAAAGGACGGATGTCACCGCGAGATCTGTGCTTAGAATGCCGCATGGCAATGTGTTCAAGGAGGAAACTTGTCACGCGGCATTCGAACCTCGGATATCGCGGTGGCTCGTGTTTGCTGTTTTTTGTATGGTGTATGAGCGGTGTGACTCCGGCTTTAGGATAACCGAAACCTGTGAACAGCCTTCACTCCCTCCATGGAACGTGGTCGCGGTAGAATGGCGTCAACTCGGCGATTGGGCCCGAGCCTGATACCGAGCGTCCTTCGACGCGTTCATTGGACACGAAACCCCGCCGAACGCGCTCGTGTCCAACTTGTGTATGCTCTCTATATCGCTGCGATGGCGTCAAAATTCTAGTTCACGAGCTTTGCTAATTCTAGGTGGTGTTTAATCGTCTCGTTCAAGCGAGATAGAAAAAAAAAATAGATCCTTTAGTGTTCATTTCTCTTCATTTACAACACTTCGATATGTGTCAGATTTGATACTTTGAGAATAAAAGGAGGCAAATGAATGCTAAACCTACGGGACCTCTTGTATGCTATAACTATGTTACGAATCTTGAACCTTCCTTATGGCCCGTGGTTCTCCAGTTGTTGGGCTGGAATGCTGACCGATGTACCCGCATGCAATTTGACGTTTTTATAGCTTCCTGCAACCTGTGGTGAGAGTGGAGTTTGCTTTTGCTAAAGACAAATGATCGTAATTTAAGTTCCAGAGTTTTTTCTCGAATGCACCTTGCAGAATGAAAAGAAAATTTCGTCCATTGACGGCGTGATTAGAAAGTAACCCACTAGCTGGTTTCCTCGGACAATCCGTGTAATTGTCTCGTTCTCAAATGAATATTCAAGAACTGTACTACTATAGCCTCCCCTATACTGACAAAGCCTGGCAGATCGCCACGAGAAGCGGCCACCGAAATGAAAGAGGTGGAGCGGCAGAAAACGGATGAGAAGAGAGCCATGTGACTGGCGCCCCGCTGCGGCGAGAGGCCGCAGCACACTTCTCCCGCGCGAACATGTGTGGTTCGGGTCCTCGCCGCTGCAAAAGCTGTGCGCTGACGTCTAGGTTCCGCGAGAAATGGCTGTTTGATGCTCTGTGCTACCAGATGCTCGCGCTCCAAATCTGCGACCGGGCACTCTATGGCTCCGTCGTCAAACTGCCAGGCTTTGTGGGTATAGAGGTGGCTATGATACTACCTTTCTAGGGCTTATTGTCCGGACGAAAAATGTCGGGTCAGTGGGCTGTGGACGCATGCGCGGCGTCTTATATTCCACAGGCTATAGCTACACTGCGCATGCTCAGAACACGTTCCACAGCCCAGTAGACAAACATGGCGTCGCGCAGAAGGGCTATTATTGCGTTCGTTGACACCGATGGGGTGCTGGGTGGCAGTGGTTACTACATCGTCCAGTCGTGGTTTAACTGCCACCACCGCCTATAATTGCCCTCTGCGCCCTGCCATATTTTGTCTACGATTATTGTAATGGCTCATAAAACAAAACAAGCTTGCAAACAAAAACAAACCAACAAAAAGCACGAGAGTATTCGACGATTTTGTCTGGGGCACGGCTGTCTCTGGGTGGTTCCTTGGGGGAGGGGGCCAGCTGCAAGCCGTTCGCCGAGGATTGTGAATGAGCACCC